ACAAATTTTCAATAAATCTTTTTTTTTTTTCACATCACCTCGGTTCCAAAAAAAAAATATTAGAGCATCAAAATTTTATGTAAATTGAGGCTGAAAAGAAGGAAGAGTTGATTTTGACAAAAAAAAATTCAAGAAAATTATAAAACTATGACATTGCTAGCATATTTTATAGGGCAATTATTTTCAAGATATTAATCACACTCTAAGAGAAATAGATTTGGTAAACAGGAATTTTATAATCTAATATATATTTGATATATGTAACAGTGTAAAATTACAACAAGGGTTGGTATTAATCACACTCTAGCTTTTTTAAAAAAAAAAAATTGATAAACTATAAAGTAATTAAAGAGTTTGATTTTATAATTAAGCATTTTTTTACAATTATTACTTTGCTGGTTATTTGATAAAAGACTAAATATTGCTATTATTTTAATACTTGCAAATATACAATAATTATAAAGAATCGAATCACCGACAGTTAGTCAACAAATGAACACACAATCTATGTCGACTCTTTCAACATTCTTCTTATATAAATCATACTATGGAGATTCATCAAAATTAATCCATTAGTACTTATATTTTTCAAACCCAAAAACAATATAATACAATTTTATTTAGTTATTCAAAAGCTATTGAAAACAAAAAAAAAAAAAAAAAAAAAAAAAAAAAAAGGTAAATTACAATTTCTTAAAAAAAAGAAAAGAAATTTGTAAAATGTTATAAGATGTGAAAAGTCAATGAAATTAATTTATTATATTCTAATAATTTGTAAAGTTTTAAGTACAAATAAATAATAATTTATGCAGTTCCCATGTGTATAACAGGCCCAGAACTAGTTCATAGTAATGGGCTGGGTAATCTTTTAGAGACAAGAGTTGAGTTACTCGAAAAATGGGATAAAATATGATATTCTTGACTTTTGACCTTATTGATTTGGTAAGTAATGATAAATAATTGTAAAAAACTATGAATTTAAGTTTTTTTTATGGGTTTGTAATGAAGAATGAAACCTGGGTGATATGGGGTTGGAACTTGATACTTGATTTCATGTGTTTGATTTTTATCTAGGAATGACTGTTTTCTTTTAATTTTAAACCTAAAGGTATGGGTATGAGCCATACTCACCTCCCCCTTGGGTTTCAAAAACCCATACCTTGGAGGTTTGAGGTATGGGTTTGAAAAATGAAATTTCTAGAAACAAACACAAGTTATGGGTTTTGGTCATTACAAACCAATACCTTATACCTTAATATGCTTGAACCAAACACCCCCTTATAGATTATAGCAATAAATATCATTATCCATGGTAATACAAGTATAACCTCAATTCACAAAGTTTTTCTTTTATTATCATCATCATCATATCATTAATAGATGTTAATTAAAATCATGAATACATCTTAAAAATTAGGGTTGATGCTGAACTATCATTATCATGGTTCATGGCATCAATTAGCATAAACTTCTTTTTCATAGATTATATATAAATCAGATTGTGTTTTTACTATATTACCACTAATCAATTTATATTCGTTGTATTAGCAATTATATCGTAAAACATAGCATCTAGGTAGTTCATCACTTACACTTTGTTTGGATAGGAAGAAATGGAAGGAAAAGAATGAAGAGAAGAGAAATGGAGGGGGACAAAATCTCTTGTTTGGGTAAAAGATTGGGGGAAGGAAGGGGAAGGAGAGGGGGGGATCCATTTTCCCTTTCTCTATAATAACCATAATCTCTCCAAAATTGGAGAGATTTGGAGGGAAAATGGAGCTCACCTCCCTCTCCATTTCTTTTCCCTTCCCTTCCCTTCCTCCATTTTCCCTCCCCTTCTTTTCCTTCCTTCTTTGCTATCCAAATAAAGCGTTAGTGACGACTTGAACTATTAGTGTGACAATTAAATCCAAACAGATGAGCACTGCATGGCTAGTACATCGGAGAATATGCAGTGCTTTACTATTTGAGGACTGTATGCATCAAACATGGCTAGTACATCGGAGACGCCATCGAAAGGGAAGGGGGAAGAACTAGAGAGTTGTCTAATATTAAGCCTGGAATGGAACCTCATTGTCTCCTTGTCCCTTATTAAATCATGTGTTATACCGTTTAATATGGTGACAAAATTAATGACCTTCATAATGTTGATTATCAATCATAGGAAACAATTCTACAAGTAATTTCATTCATTTCCACATCCAAAAACTATATAATATGCATGATTAATTAAAATAATTATTAAATCCATGTTCTTAAATTGGTCCGGCAGCCATACATGTGACTGTAGGCACCGTACAAAGGATGTACTCTTTTACATAATTAAGCTTATATACAAGTTGATTAAAATATAATTAGTGACAACCTATATATGAATCTTGGCCATAAAAATTCGGTAGAATGCAGAAGCATTATTATTTGATAATTTAGCAACTTGTACGGAATAATGTTGCAACTAATATTTATAAATCTAAACATGTGATTATGAAAATAAATTCCTAATGCAACTTGGTTTACGTACATGAAGTACTACTGTACTAGTGTAATGTATCTATCTATTTTTATTCTCTGGTAAATTTAAATTTCAGATTCTTTATATGTGGATTACAAAAGAGTAGTGTATTCCTCAAAAAAAAAAAAATAGTAGTGTAAAATGACAATTAAACAGTTTATGTTTGTTTGTCTTCAAGCAAATGATGTTGAGTGAGTTTTAATATAAAACAAATACGATGTAAAAAATTAATAAATTCTATTAAAAAAAATAATAATAAATTTGAATACTACATTCGTTCTCATATAAACTTTTATTTATTATTTGCTTTTTTTTCTTTTACTATGCATATTCTTTAATCAATTAAACATTTATATTCAACTATTTATTTTCTTGATTCAAATTTAATTAATCAAATAAAAAAAGTTTGTCGAATGCAAATGTGACTTTTATTTTGGAATACTAGAATAAAAGATTCATTCGGAGAAGGGTATGATATGCATTGATTGAGAGATGGAAACATTGTTATAATATTATTAGGACTATACCTCTGAATAATAAAATAATAAACCACTTTAACAATGAGAGATGGAAACATTATATATGGAGTAGAACTAAATCTAAGAAGACATGGGTAATGTATATAGAATACTTCATTATAATATCATGGTGTTCAACTATTTATGCCTATTTACATTGTTTATTCTTATTATTGTATAATAATCTTTCAAAAAAAAAAAACAGATTTTCTAGTACAAATCTAAAAGAACAACAATCACATGATTTCATCCAATTCAACCCTTTGTTTGTATATACAATAAATAGTGATGGAGGTCATGCCCATCTTTGAATGCTTTAGTCATTGAAAAAGGACACTGAAATATATGGTCAAAACATATGTAGCAATCAAGTATCAGTAGTTGTTTCCATTTTTGTATTGACTAATGAATACAGAGTACGGGCAGAGTAACATGTATGCATACCATTGTCGTACGCCACTAGATTAATTCATATTCCAAGTCATGATTCAGAACTTGTTTCGACTAGTCCAAACATCTGCATGCTTGGCAAGAGAATTTGAGTTATAGATGTGTTATGTCTAGATAAGTAAAACAATAGTCCGGTTACAATGAATCATGGACATATTAAAGCAAAACGTAAAAATAGCCAAGCACACGCGGTGCAAGGAAAAAGAAGTTTATAGAACTTATCGTGCAAGGGTTATAATTTACTGGAACGGCAATAGAACAGAAAATGTCTAGTGTGGTGCAAGCCTACCTTCTAACCAACTAATTCACAGATATAGGGAACCAACAAACAAACTGAATTATGATCTTTAATCTATTAAAACTATGGTAAACATGAAGATTGGATCAGGGTTATTAATACTAAGTGGCTAACAAGACAAACCACAATCATTTCACATGCCTCAAGGTTTCGGATATAATGCATTTTACAGATCACTGATGTTTACACATCTCTAAATTTGCTATATTGGCTAAGTCTTATTGAAGCACTTGAAAAAAGGTTTTATTTTCTGTCCATTTAAGTCCAACAAACTAAATGATTTTCCTAAACTAAATCCATCAAGGACATAATTTTTAAATCTGATACCAAGTGAATGAAACTATAGTACAATTTCAACGAAACCAGACATTAAAACAGATGACATAACCACCAAATTTGTCATTCTGTAAAGTTGATACCAGAAATATGTATTGACTCTTTATCATAGAGCAATTATCAATCAGTCAGTGGGATTCATCTTTGTGATCAAATCTACTGTAATTTTCGATTTTTTGGGTGTGTTTTAACTCTAAAGGTATTAAACAATTTTACGTGCTAACAAAGGGCAAAATTAGCAATAAGATGTTAAAAATTGGACTTTCAAACAATTCTCCATACAGTCCATGATACAAAGTTAAAAGCATGGCAAATGACAGAGTCCTAGACTTGATTACGGATTTTCGGTGCAGTACAAGATAACAAGCCAGTGGAATCATGCTGCATTAGTAATTTTTGTACTCGGAGCCTATTAAACATGGTAGTAATCACTTTGATTTTAACCTTAGCCCTTAAAATATCAACATATGATGATGCTTACATATTCCGACATCAATGTACTTAGACGATGACTGGAAGTACAGAAAAGGACTGATTTTAATCCATTCTAGTGTAACAAACTACATGATTTATCTGTTTTGATTCTTTGTATTTCAACAGAAGCCGTACATAATTTTATATTGTTGTAGAACAAGAACAATTCATTGGTGAGAAACAAAAATGAATTAGCTTTGTCATTACCGATTCTAGGGACTTAAAAATATTTTTAGCAAGGATAATTTGTTGAAAAAAAAAAAGTTGGGAATATGAACAACGTAGAGAACAGTAAATTAATTTGAAAAAATGACGTTGAATCAGTTCTATGAATTCGCAGGAAAAAAATATTGCAGAATTTGAAAGAGAGATCAAATAGATGAATCAATCAATATATAATTTCATTGCGAACTATAAATCCTGTGTCTCAATTTACAAATGCACAAAATTTCTGGCCCATGGAAATTTACCATGACAAAGAATATAGTATACAAACTATTTAGTCTAAGTATCCACTTAATTTGTGAGGATGTTCAAGAGTGAGACTCTATTTTGTAGTAAGCACCTAAAAAGGCACCCGAGTTCTCCCTCAATGATTTGAAGACTAGCATCAAGAGCTTGAATTTTGCCTCGTACTAGCATCACATCAACTTTTTTCTCGTTCTGAAGGGCTAGATCAACCCCAGAAACCTCGTTCAGGATCCCGGCCACCTTGCTGGTAGAACGAGCCCCTGAATTTTTAGTGACGAGTTTTGAGACCAATGACCATTTGCTTGCCTTGGTTGGAGTAGACAAGAACAAGAAGAGTGATTTGAAGACAGCAACTGTAGCAGTGTATGTTTCTCTTACAAGTTTAACTAAATTCGCTGTTGAAGGATCGCTTTCAAGCAGAGGAGCAGTGATTCCGAATTTTCCCTCAGCTTGCTTCAATACTTTAAGGCATCTTGAAACTTCCTTTGCAACCTTCTTTCGAAAACTCATGTACATGCTAATTTCTTCACTGCTCGAGTACCCCTTACGACGTAGAGCAGACTGTAGTTCACAGATTTGCTCCTTAAACCCTGTAATGAGGTCTCTTCCACTGCTGCAAGTATCTAGCAGTGATACCGAACTTTCTAAGGCTTCTTCTACCAATTTCCCGTTCTGGCTGGAAAGAGAATTGATAAGATCTTGTAGATGAGCATACAACTCAACAAGGTTTAGAAGACCGAGCTGAATACTATCGGCTCCTGTTGCATAACAGGAAGTTGACTCTGATGGGTAAATATCACGAGTCTTTAACTTATTGATCGTTTCTTCGATTTTAAGAGATGTTGGGTGAGATCTAGCAGGTAAACTTATGGACCTAACAGGATGAGAAGAGGCAGCCATTTTGTTTAAATTTGTTAAATGAAATATGTTTATCTTTTTTGTTTGTTCAAGTAAATGTGAGAGATTTTGATCACCAAAATGCACTGAATAGATAATGCTGTGATTCGAGCTATTTATAGTTCGCGAAGGAGCAGAAGAAGAGGAGAGCGAGATCAGGGCATGTGAACACGACGTAGGACTACCCTTGCTCGTCACTCGTCTTAGGAAACAGTTAGTCCGACATGTTGCCAACCCTCAATAATATTTAAAACCCTTTTACGGATTATTTTATTAAATACTATGACTAACAGTCTTGCAGACTAGCAGCTTACATTCTGGTAAAGATTCTGTACAATTTTTTTAAACAACCTTTGTCTCCCTCTCTGCCCTCCTACTCTATAACCAATCATTAGATGATAACTAACAGCATTCTCGTCGCATTCATGTCTCTTGATTTTTATAATCGTAATCAAATTAGACTATCCAATACTAATACACGTATCGTATCAAGCTTGAAAAATCACCACAAAACAATATCAACAGAATAGTTTTAGCTGCAACAGAATCGTTAACAGATTTACTGTTGCGTTTTTCCGAGGATCAAAAAGATCATAGAGAGGAGTAGCATGGTAGTTGGAGAACAAAACTAATTAGTGAAATAGTTAAGAATATAATTAAGAATATAAGAATGCAATGTATGTGGAAACAAGAGATGCTAATCAAGTAAAAGAGTGTAAAGAAGTTGCTGATTTTGGGAGACAATAGCGCAGTTGACAGAATAAATTAAATTGGAGATCTTTATCCAAGGACTAAATATACCTAGTGCTAAATGTCTTTTTGAGAATCATAGCCTCATTTGGACTTACTATAGCATAGGTTTTTAAAAAAATTCAATTAAAGAACATGTTATATAATGGTGCCACAAATTCACTAGTCCTGTAGTGTAATGTTATCCTAAGGAGCAATGTGTCACACAGGCGTAAAATTAAAAATAATTTTCTTAGAAATGAATTTATCATAGACGACATATTGGTGCACACTTAACAATAGATGATTATTTTTTACCCTATTTTTTTTTTTTCATCTGAGCATGCAATATACTAAACATACTACCAAAAGCGGATGCGCTAGGACAGCGGGGTCAAATGAACTGACTTACCTTGGTGCCCAAAATTTAATTTATAGTAGAGGCAATGGGTTTATTTGTCTAATTTGACCTTATGTTACATTGGAGTTGAATTGGGGTGCCAAACTTTCATTGTTTGACAAACTAATGAAATCAAACACTTTAGTGTGGTTGTTAAGTATTGTACAATGTTTGGTTTTAGGATAAAATTTGAACAATAATATTAGGCTTCAAATCTCCAACCATCAATCCACAGTTACTCCACATCATTTCTTTCTATCACACTACATCAAAATGGCAACAAATAAAGCCTTATACCATATATTTTTTATATTTGCATCCCTTTAATATTTATTCCCTCCGTTTTTAAATACTTGCTCCGATTCTCCATGCGCGGAGTTTTTGAAGAAATTGGAGAAAATAATAATACATGGAGGTAGTGGGGTAAGTGGAAGAATAAAAAATTGTAAAAAACAAAAGTAGTGGAGAGGATTGGAGAGGAGAAAATATATGGTGGGTCCACTAGGTGAGAGAAATTAGTTAAATATTGTAAAAATTTTCCAAATAAGGAAATGGAACAAGTATTTAAAAATGGCCGAAATAGAAAAGTGGAGCAAGTATTTAAAAACAGAGAGAGTAATAAGTAGTAACTTTATACATATTTTATTATTTCTCTTTTAACCCTAAAATTCTACTAAAAATATTCCATCATTTCTTTCACTTGGTTTTCACAATAAAGAACGCCAAAGATGTGCAACTTGATTGCTTAATTTTGCATAAAATTAAAGTGTCCCATAATATCAATGCGTGGTTCTTGCCGGTGGATGCATGATTCACATGGTGCATCCCTTACCAAAAAAATAAAAAATAAAAAAATAAAAAAAATCCCAGGTAGAAAGAACTTTGTATAAAAATGCCAAGAACATTTAGTTAAAGTAAAAAGAACATGTTATAGAATTGTAAAGAACATTGTATAGAAATGTAAAGAACATTCAATTAAAGTGGAAAGAACATATTATAGAATTGTAAAAAATATAACATGTTGTTAAATAATGTTCTTTATCTTCATATTCTTTGATTGTCAATATAATGTACTTTTATTTGTGACGTAATATTAATTGTTTATTTTGAAATGTTCTTTGAATTTTGTCTTTAAATTCAAATTATAGTGGTTGAATAAAAATGATGTTCATTACATTATATAATTATTAGAGGTGATCAAAAATTCGAGTCGGACCAAGTTTTAACATAATATCTAGGGATGTCAGTGGGGTGGGTCAAGTAGGAGACCCGCCCCCATCCCCGCCCCAACGGAGTGGGGATGGGTCTCAGTTTGGCGGGTGGTGGGGCGGGGATGGGGATAAAAACCATACCCGCCATGGGTGATGGGGCGGGGTGGATTTTAAGTTGTACCCGCCCCACTTCATACCCGCCCATCCCCACCTCATCCCCACATCTATATATCTTTTAAAGCAAAATTACATACTTTTATTCTATTTATAAAATAATTACATGAAATACAATATTAATTATAATACTTTGTACGACACTTATATTATAAACACAAAAATGTGTATAGAATGTTTTATTTTATAATTTGTAATAATTATGTAAGATTGTGTATTTGAGATACGTATATTAGGGGGATCTTGGGTGGGGATTAGGTGGGGATGGATATCTAAGTGGGGGTGGGCTGGGGATGGTTTTGGAGTTGTACCCGGTGGGGAGGGGGAGGGGATGAAAATTGGACCCGCTGCGGGGATGGGGATGGGGATAGGGATGAAAATATTAGGTGGGGATGGAAATGGGAAGGCCAACATCCGCCCTGCCCCGCCCCATTGACATCCCTAATAATATCTCTTGCCCAAACCTGGAAAATGTAGTGAGCTTTTGGTTTTTTTTCGAGCCATGCTTGGATTTTTAACTAAAAATGCAATTTTAGGCTGCCCAAACCCGCCCTATTTTCGGGCCGGATCGGGGCCAGACTGAAGTTGATAACCTCTAATTATCATGTTATTTATTAATATTACGTAGGTTCTTTAGATATATATATATATAAAGACATAAAGTTGGATTTTTTTTTTTACAAAATAGCTATAATTCTGTACAAAATAGCTATATGTTCATTACAATACAATTATATGTGATGTTCTTTATAAAATAATTGTATGTTATTTACTGAACAACTAAATGTATATTCTGTCTTTTAAAAAAAACGGATACACGGAACATCGTGCATCCGCCTCTATGGAACACCATAATATGTACTCGTTGTCTAATGTAGTCCACGAGTTGAGGATAATTTTTTTTTTCAGAAATCGACAATCATTGAAAATAATATTAGTATAAAGTGACTCATCTACTTCAATGTCTACATCATAATAACCTGTGTCTAATAATATATAATCGTCGTCCAATGAAAAGAGATTTTAATTTTTCCTACGGCATACGCTAATTGTCCACTTGCAGCATTGGCCTTAATTTGAGTAGTTGATCAATTTTTTCATTTAATTTAAGTGAAGGTTCTTTTTTGTGTAAAAAAATAACTTTCTTCATTTTTAACTATTCATTTTCATGTGGTGGAGGCTCAAGGTTTCAATTACAAAATATAGAGTAAGGCATTTTCTAGATTAAAGGCCTATTCACATTTACTTAATTTCAGTTTATTTCAACTCCTAATTTTCCTCTTTCATAAAATATTCATTTCATTTCAGTTCAACTCCAATCAGTTCAGTTTAGCTCAATAAATGTAAATAGCACCTAAGAAAACACGTCCTATCAGATCGAAATTTTTCACATATTAACTCGGCTCGAGTTTGCATACAAGTCTCATTGGGAATGAAGGAAAGGGAAAGGGTAAGAGTAAGAGTAAGAGATCCCTATTCCCAAGTTTCCTTGTGGAGATTTATGCCACAGCCTGTTAGTTGTGAGTTTATTTATCACTATACCAGATACTACTAGTAGTTCCAAAATTAAATTGAAGAAAGAGATAAGGCATCCGAAGAAAGTAATACATGTAATCATGTATCATACATAAATATGGCACACATTGTGTAATGGAGTATTGGAGTTTAAATTCAAAGGTATGTTTATACTAGTAGAATGAATAGATTGTCTTTGGTTTTTTTTTTTTTGATTTTTTTTTTAAATTAATCTTTAAAAAACATCAAACTAGAAACAAAAATATCATAAACAAGCTCTTATTTTTGTACATTAATTCGTGCATCGTAAGTAAAACACAGAAGATGTGCCATGTTAGAACTGTAGAAGCAACTGCAAGTGTTTGTCCCATTCAAATTCCAACATTTTATTTTTTACAAGTCCTTTTCGGTTACATATCTAACCATTCTGATAGTCTTCAAGTCCAAATCAAATATCGCAATGATTATGACATTTTGCCAATTTACACAAGGCAGACTTATAGACAAGTGACAACTTTAAAAAATCCCAAATATCATTGCCGATATTTTATTTGTTAAAACATTTAGATATTTTTTGAATATGTAAGATGAAAAATCCAATCTGACCTCACCCCTCGCATTGACTATAGCTCCTTGTGTGCTCGTCAACAAATACAACCAATATGTACTCGTACAATAAGCTCAAAGGTTCAATACGTTTAATAAATTAGATCAAATAAACTCAAAAACGATACATGTTAAATTGTGGTGAATAGAAAATACCCTTAATCTAATCTGCAAACCTCTGTCATTGGGTGAAGTCCTAGTTTCTACCTTACTCAATAGTTTTGGTTGGATGAGAAGGCGGTTGACACATGAAACAATAACTCCACACACACCTAAGTTGATTGGATGAGAAAGTGGTTCAGTCACCAATGGAATAAAACTACAGATTACAAAAAAAAACTGAAGCAGCTTAAAAAACAGGGAACACCCAGAATCCCATCACATGTTCACATTCTCTTGTCAGCCTAAAAAACACACACAGCTACACAGCATTTTAATTACTCAG